GAGATTTGAAGGATGGAGTCACTTTGCTGCTATTTGACTCTAAGTAAGTGTGGATGGGAACAAGGTTCTATGGGAAGTAACCTCACAAAGTGATCTGATCATAAATTCCTAACTACCCAGGTCATGGTGGGTAGTCACACCCCAGGCATGCAACTTTTAATAAAAGGTTCATCTTTGCCTTAAGCAAGCCCTGTCCATTGTTTTGTGCATGTAGGTTAACGCACCTTTGAAATAAGTATAACCACCCTCAAGAGAGCACATAATTGTTAATTATCCTGTCATCCAATCTCCTTCTTGCCTTCTCCCACCTTCATGTGATTTTCCTTACATTCCATCCTTAATTTCAAATGCATAGAAGAAACTGCAAAACTGTCATTCTCTGGAGCTTTGGGGATCCTGCTTCCTGGCAATTGTCATCAGTTTTGGTTCAAATTCTCTACAGGTTTGGACGTTCTTAATGTCAATATAAGTCTGTCTTGAGCTACTTTTCTCTATACTTTCCCCATCCCTCAGTGGGGTTCTAACTGGCGCACCTGCTCCTCTGGCCCAGAAATACTTTCCCAGGCTTATCTTGGAGGCTGCCATGCTCTTTCTCCCGTTCTCTGAGCTTAGTTCAGATGCCAGCTCTTTGTTTCCTCAGTCAGAAGGAACCTCTCCCTTCTCCATCCTCCTGGTTCAGCAGCTGTTACTACATTTGTAGCAGGGGTGAGCTGGAGTCCTGGCTGCCTGGCCTGCGCCAAACTGTGACTCTCTGGCATCGGATCTACCTCCTTGTTCTCTAACCACAATGATGTGGGCCCTCACCCCACAGGGTATCACTTGGGTATAGGTGATCTGGGGCACGTGGATGCGCCAACTGGATTTCTACTGCTTGATGACAATAATAACAGTAGCCCGCATTAGCTAGCATGTACTAAGGGATTCTTACAGCTCCAAGACTATACAATGGAGTTATTCTTCCTCTGCTACAGATGAGGAAACTTAGAGAGGTGGAGTGACTTGCCTAAGGTAACACATGCAAAACTACATTTACCATTGTTGATGGCACATCACTCCTTCTCCCAGATTGCCCTGCATTCAAAGGACCTTCTGATGTCTAGGACAGGAAATAATAGACTATGCTCCCCCTGGTGGAGGGATGCAGCAACACACAATGTCCCTGCAAAGATGGGAGGGTTACTGCCTTGAGCACTACAAGCAAGTCACAGGACGCTCAGCTGATCGGAAGATGAGTTTAGACTTCCTTTTACACTTTCCCCCAATAGATAAATGTTATTGCATTTTTAAAATACGACAAGTAGGGGTTGAGGGTCATCTACCATCTTCTTTGTAGCTAGACAACTCTTAGATCTTATACATGGGCTAGCTGATTGGTTTCTTTTTCAGAGACATAGATAACATCTAACATTTTTCTGATATCCTTGTGTTTAACTGCTGTGGCTTGCTGAATCTAAGCAGCTGAGTTTGATACAAGTTCGATGCCACTAGCTTCACTAACTTTCTGGACTTGAGATATTGAATGAACAATGCTTGGCCCCATATGAACACTACAGGTAGATTTTTTATTTCAGATAGATTTTTTTTTATACAAAAATGATCAGATTTCAATAAGAGCCCCACTCTCCTGAACAGAGACGTTGATAGGGAAGTGAGCATTCACCGACCTCATCCTGTAAAGGAGGCCCAGGGAGCACCCTCAACCATGTGCCTTGACTCCAGACTGTGTGAACTATGGCCAGTTTCTTTCTCTTCCCCACTGTTTGTCAACTCGGAGCCTCTTCCTTTTATTTCCAAGGAGGCCGAGTTCTACATTGACGAAGTCCCTTGCAGAATGATCTCATCAAGAAACTCTGTATCCGCCCAAGCCGGTTGAGCAGTGGTTAGAGCACCAACCCTTGGAGGGCTGAGGGTTTGATTCCCAGTCAAGGGCACGTACGTACCTCACACCTCGGTTGCAGGTTCCATCCCGGGCCCTGGTCAGGGCACAAGCGGGAGGTAACCAACGATGTTTCTCTCTCCCCGCCCCCCCCTCCCTTCCACGCTACAAAAATCAATGAAAAAAATATTCTCACTCCTCAATAAGGATAAAAAAAACCCACTCTGTACCTATTAGCTATCTATCTTTCTATCCCTCACACCCAGCCCTAAGCAACCACTAATCTTTTTGTCTGCATAGATTTGCCATTATGGATGTTTCACATAAATAAATTATATAATATATGGTCTCTTACCTCTTACATATTTTGAAATTAAGTGTGTTTACATTGTAATTTTGCTTTGTACCACAATTAGTTGGAATCAGTGTTTTTTAGCCCTGTGATTTTATACGTTTTTAAAGATTAGCAGAACATTACAGCAAATCCAGAGTTAAATTTTATCATCCCTTCCCGGAAGAGAAGCCCAGAGGCTCTATTTCTCAAGGAAACAAAATGAAAAGGAGTACAAATAGCCACCGAGGGAGTTAGGACATTTCGACCTTTTATTGAAGATTTTACCATCTAGGCCCCTGATCCCCAGGTCCTGCCTGCCCTGGGGTCTGAGCTCACCTTTGAGATGAAAAAGGCTGGGCGACGGATGGGTCAGGGCTGTCTCCTGCCCATTTCCAGACTGTGGGGCTGCCCTGTCAGTAGGAAAGATGCCTGAGGACACCCAGAGGTCACTCAAAGGGGCAAGGGTGAAGGAAAGAGAGGAATGTCCCATCTGCTAGAGGAAGCAGCAGTTATTGGAGCAAGGACTAAAGATGAGGCATTTGCTTGGCTGGTGTGGCTCAGTGGTTGAACATCAACCTATGAACCAGGTCATGGTTTGATTCTCTGTCAGGACACATGTGGGCTTGATCCCGTGTGGAGCATGCAGGAGGCAGCCAATCAATGATTCTCTATCATCATTGATGTTTCTATCTCCCCCTCTCCCTTCCTCTCTGAAATCAATTTTAAAAATATATATATATATATTAGAGGCCCGGTACATGAAATTCATGAGGGGGGGTGAAATTCATGGTGGGGGGTCCCTCAGCCCGGCCTACACCCTCTCCAATCTGGGACCCCTCAGGGGATGTCTGACTGCCGGTTTAGGCCCATAAACTGATCCTGCAATCCAGGACCACTGGCTCCTAACCACTCACCTGCCTGCCTGCCTAATGCCCCCAACTGCCCTCCCCTGCTGCCCTGCTGGCCTGGTCGCCCCCAACTGCTCTCCTCTGCCAGCCTGATCTCACCCCCGACTGCCCTACACTGCTGGCCTGATCTTGCCCCCAACTGCCCTACACTGCTGGCCTGATCGCCCCTAACCCTCTGCCAGCCTGATCTCGCCCCTAATTGCTCTCCTCTGCCAGCCTGATCTCACCCCTAACTGCCTCTGCCTTGGCCTCCACTACCGTGGCTTTGTCCAGAAGGAAGTCGGACATCCGGAAGATGGCCGGTTGCCTGGTCTAATTAGCAAGTTACCCTTTTATTGCTATAGATGAGGCACTTGCCAACAGGCCAGGCCAGCTCTTGAGGCTGCCTAGGGAGCCACAGGTACTTCAGGTGGGGATATTCTGCAAGGTCAGCCACAGGACAGGCATCTGCTAAGGTGGTATGTGGAAGCTCTGCCTTGGGTCTGACCCGAAGGAGGAAGCTTGTCAACCTGACCTACTCCTTCTGAGTTCACATCTAGAGGTCAACCACTTTCCCAGGAATCCCTTTCCCCAGCAAAAATCCTTTGTCTCAAATATTGGGTGGGACTCATACAACTCTGGGACATGACCCAGAAGTGAGCAGCTGTTGTAGTGTCAATCGTAAACTTAACCAAGTAGATGCTCTAAGTTAGAGGATGGCTCTGGAAACCTCCACATTCTCCTTGGACAATTTTAAGTGAGTTCAGAGGGTTGGGAGGACGTGCTCTGGCTGAGGGGGAGCAGAGAGGAGGCAGGAACGAAGGTCCAGTGTCAAAGGAAGACCTGGCTTATAGGAAGAGGGCAGGAGAGGAAAAACACAAAAAGGAGCTAAAATGGTAAGTTTCTGAAGTTGGGTTTGAAATAAGGACACAGTGACGAGATGCCTGCTGCTTGTTTTAATCCCATCTCCTCTGTCCGGGGAGCATGCTCTTCAGATTAGAAATGGAAGGAAAAATGTTGGTCAAGGAATCGAAAGCCCAGTGTAGTGCGCTGAATGGTGTCCCCTCCAAATTCAGTTCACCCCTTATCAGATGTATCGTTGGCGAATATATTCTCCCACTCAGTAGGTTGTCTTTGTTTTGTTGATGGTTCCCTTTGCTGTGCAAAAACTTTTTAATTTGATGCAGTCCCATTTGTTTTTTTCTTTTGTTCTCCTTAACCAAGGAGATAGATCAGAAAAAAATATTAGTAAGAGCAATGTGAGAGTTTACTGCCTATGTTTTCTTCTAGAAGTTTCATGGTTTCAGGTCTTACATTTACATCTCTAATCCATTTTGAGTTTTTTTCTTGTATATGCTGTAAGAAGGTGCTTTAATTACATTTTTTTTGCATGTATCTGTCCAATTTTCCCAATACCATTTATTGACTAGAGTATCTCTGCCCATTGGAGGAGGTGCCTTCTTATAACCTGTGTATGAAGCTTACCTAGTGCCAGGCATCGTACACCAACTATCCCTCAGGACAACGATACCCTGCAATTGTGCCTGATGGCCCAGGGGAGGTGGGTTAAGCGGGAAGAATGGGAGTAGGGGGGCCTCGGGGACCCTGGAAGGAAGGAGATAGACAGGGACTGACTGGTGAATGAAGCCCTCAGGTCCCAACAGGGCTCCAGGGAGGCCAGTCCTGCCAAGACACCCAGGACAGGAGGTCACTGTGATGCCCCCACCCCCCCACCCCCCGCCCAGTGAAGGGAAGAGGGGTCTGAGCAGGGCAGAGGCTCTGATGAAATGCAATGCCCACCGTGACTCGCCATCCTTGTCCAGTTTCTTCACCTCCTTGATGACCTCCACTGCCTCCCAACAGACCCCAGCATGCCCCAGGGAGGGAGTCAGGCTCGGCAGGAGACAGGCAGCAGCCTCCTCGAGGCGCACTTTATTGGGGAGCGGGGTGGGGGACCTAGGCCTGCTGGGCTCGAAGCAGCGCTCGCACCTGGCTGATCTGCCAGTCGACGCTGGAGCGGGCGGTGCCACCCAGGGCAGAATACTGCTCCACGCTGTGCCCGTAGTCCCACACCTGGCTCACGTCGCCCGAGAACAGGTGGCTGGGGAAAGGAAGGAGATGGGCTAGCGCAGCCCAGCCATGCAGCCTCAGGGACCTGGGAGGCAGCGGAGGGAGGGGAGGGGGCCGCACCTGATGGTCTGTAGCTCCTGCAGCGACAGCTGGTTGAGGGCGACCCCCTTGGTCTCCGCCATGAACACTGCTTTCCCAGAGGCCTCGTGGGCCTGGCGGAATGGCATCTGCAGGTGCCGAGCAGAGGGCAGCACTGAAGCAGGCTTCCTGGCTCCCTGCCCTGCTGTGGGTACCTGTGCCTCCCTAACCACCCCTACCCCTGGCCCTCCACCCCAGCCGCCCCACACTCACCCCTTTGCGGACCAGGTAGTAGGCGAGGTCAGTGGCCAGCATGTCAGGACTAAGAGCCTGCACCATGTTCTCACGGTGAATCTGGGGGTGTGGGTGGGGAAGTGGTGAGTCTTGGGGCCCTGGGGACACCAGGCCTGAAGCTGCCAGCTCCAAGCTTACCCCTCAGCCAGTATGTCTCCTGCCCTGGGCAGATCCACTCTTTCCCACCCTGTTTGCTCTCTCCGGCTCGAGCTGTCTTTTCATAATTATTGATAATTTGTAAGTGTGCTATAGGGGTTGCCGTTACGTTTCCAGAGTCCTTATCTTTAGTGCACATCAGAATCACCTGCAGGATTTATTACAAATACAGACCGCAGGGCCCCATCCCCGGAGTCGGATCCAGTGTTACTGGAATGAGGCCCAGAATTGCACTCTCTCAAGTTCCCAGGTGATGCAGACACTGCTGGTCCCAGAACCACTGCTTTAGACACATCCTGAACTAGTTAGGATTGAAATGATACGCAGATGGGGATCTGGTTCAAATAAGGGGGTGGGGTGAAGATAGCTGCCAAATCAAGAATGGCCAGGAGGTGGCTATTGCTGAAGCCGGGTGTTGGTACACAGGGGGTTATTACACATGTTCCCAACCGTTGCATAATGGAATTTCCCATAATAAAAAGAAATCTGGTCAGGCCAGGTGATGGGACCCCTTGAGTCTAACTACTTCCATAGTTTTGCCCCTCAAAGGCAGGACCAAGCACATGTCCCCTGCCTGCCCCTGCCCCAGGGCTTCTGGACCACCCACCCTAGCCTCCTCTCATGATCACCCTCTGCCCATCCCAGAGTTTAGGGACCGGGAGAGAAGATGCGTGTCTTACCTGCAACGTAGAGATGACGCCAGTGGCCACCTGGAGGACGGCACCCATGGTGTCTGACACTTCAAACACGGCTTCCTTGTCCTCCTGAGAGGGAGGCACGTGGCAGGAGGTGAGGGCTCAGCAGCCCCATCCCTCACGGAGGCATCCCCACTGCTTTCCACTGGGACCACTCAGCACCCCCCACACCCCACACCGAGGGAGAGGAGAGAGCTCTCAGGGTGGTCCGGGTCTGGGAGCACGGGATGGAGCGTGGCAATTCTGTGGGGCCCCTGCCTGGAAGTGCCAGGGCCCTGAGAACTGGTACGTGGCGTATATGCAGAGGGGCCCCTCCCCACCGCCCGCAGCCTCACACCTGTAAGTCCTTGTTGTAGGTGCTCGGAAGTCCCTTGAGGGTCATCAGGAGCCCAGCACACTGAGGGCAGAGTGAGGGTCAGGAGGCGGGACCTCGGAGCCCGCCCTGGAAGCTTCCCCAGGACCTCCCGGGTCAGCCAGAGGCTTTGCCCTGCTCCCTGCCCGTCTCACCCGTCCAAACACTCGGCCCGCCTTGCTCCGGATCAGCTCCAGGCTGTCCGGGTTTTTCTTCTGGGGCATCAGGCTGCTTCCAGTGCTAGGGACAGAGATGCTGGGGCTGAAGGGGCTCCTCTGCCCCGGGCTGCTCTGCTGGCTGGGGCGGAGAGGAAGGAAGCCATGTGGGGGCGCAGAGCGGGGCAGGGCAGCGCGCGGCCTTACCTGTAGGCATCGGAGAGCTGCACAAAGCTGAATTCCTTGGTGCCGTAGAGGATGAGATCCTCAGCCATCCTGCTGAGATGGGTCATGCACAGCGAGGCCCAGAACAGGAACTCGGCTTGTGGGAGGGGAGGGAAGGCAGGCTCTCGGGTCACCAGGCCTCCCTTGCTCTCCACCCGCCTGGAGAAGCTCCAGGTGGACCATATGGGAGGGGGAGGCAGCTGGAGAGGACGGGGACTGGGGCACAGAGACGGGGCACCGTGCAGGGGATGAGTGGGCTGGCCCCCAGGACTCACCCACAAAGTCTCGCTCACTGGTAGCATCCATGCTGTTGAGAGTGATGGCCCCAAATTTGAGTTCTGGACAAGGGGGAGAAGGGGAAGGCAATAGGGCTGGGCTGGTGGACAAGGATGGGCCTCCTCCACCCTGAACCAGGCTGCCCAGCCACCTCCCCATGGCCCCCTTTCAGGGAGGAGGAGTAGGGAGGGACAGGAGGTGAGGAGGGCCTCTTGTACGGGTCCCAGAGGGAGGCAGGAGCCCTGAGTGTACCCAGGGCCATGCACCTCTGTCACAGGCCTTCCCTTGCCGCTCTAACTTCAGTGTCCGTAGGTAACAGGATTCACCCAGACCCCTGCCCTCTCTCTGCAAGACCCCGGCAGAAGCTGATGGTGATCTCCCGAGGGTGGGCGGAGGGCTTACCTGTTCGGAGCAGCTCCCGGTCCACACCCAGAGGATTGCCTGCAATGGCCCCACTGCAGGGGCAGGGGATTCTGAGTGACCAGGGCTCCTGGAAAGCAGGCCCTGGCACATACACACCCAGAGTTGCATCCTGGTTGCCAGGGCTACGGCCAGTCAGCTTGGTGCCTGACACTTGTCCCCGTGCAGGGAATGGCAGGCTGTGGGTAACTGGCTGGCTCTCAGGGGCTTCTCTGGAGAGCTCGGGCCCTGCTCTGACACACTTGCTAGCTTGGTTGTCCACACCCTGAGAGAACTGGGTGTCCCTGCCAGATCCCGCCTGCCTATGTAGGAAGAACTCTGGATGGGAAGGCCGGTCCCCTCGGTCCTTGCTGGCTCCTCCTCTTCTGTCAATCCCCAAGGGCCATGCTGATTATGTGGCAGCAGCCCTGTCCCCACCCTCGGAGCACTGGGACCTCACTCACCTCCCCAGGGGCAGGACGTTGATCCGCTTCTGCACCTCCAGCAGCCTCTCAGAGTCTCTGGTCAGTGCCACGGCGTGGCTGTGGGAAGCCAGGGAACGGAAGGTCAGGGCAGCCAGGGGGCCTCCCCTCCATCAGGGCCCCTCCATCACCGTCCCACTCACCTCAGGATCCAGTGGCTCCAGCGGATGGGCTGAGCCCTCTGCAGGTGTGTGTACCCTGGGAAGAGGATGTCCCGTTCCCTGTGGGGGAAGAGTAGGGGCAGGGTGCCTGAGGGCCTGCCGGCCTGGCCCCTCCAGAAAACAGCAGGGCAGGTCTACCGGGACCTCCCTGCACGAGGGGTCGAGTGATCTCCGGGGGATAAATCATTGTAAGGGAACAGACCCAAGACCAAGCGTGGATTAGACCCTCCGCTCGGGTCTTTGCTACTCACAGCACAGCGGGTACCACCTGGCAGTGGGAGCCACGTCTGTGAGGGAGAAGCTCCCCAGGAGCCCAGAGAGCCGGGGGCCCTTCAGAGTGGGCGGGACAGAGGCCGAGTGCTGTGGGCGCTGGTTCTGGTTTGTTTTTTTTAGTAAACATTACTGAGGTGATGACTCACATACAATCCTCTCATTTGAAGTGTACAACCATCACCACGTCAATTTTAGAACCTTTCACTACCCCACAAGAGAAGGCCAGCACTCCTCAGCAGGCCCTCTTTCCTCCTCCGGCCCCCAAGGGTGATGGTGCTTGTGCCCTGGTTTGCCCCCAGGTGATGCGGTCTGTGAAACAGAGGTCACAGGGAGTTGGGGAAAAGGAGGGGTCAACCCTGTCCCTGACACCAAATAGGGACTTCTCAGTAGCCAAGGCACAGAAGCCAAAGCTTGGGGATGAGGCTGGTGGGAGGCAGCCTTTGGCTCTGTCCTTTGCCAGCGTGCTGGGCAGAAATGGGGACGAGGGGCACAGGCGGCTGGGGAGCGGCTCTGTCTGCCCCAGGCACGGCCGGCCCCCTTCCTCAGGCTTCAGGGCATCTGCCCAGTGCTTTAGCTTCCTGCTTGTGAATCCTCAAAGTGTGAGCTTGCCCCGCCTGCCGTGGGGTAAGGTATACTGCAAGAAATGCCCCACTCCTGCTGCTCTGCTCACTCAGTCCAGGAGCTCTGGGACCCCCTGCACCCCAAGGCCTGGCTCCCCTACCCTCTTCACCCCTGCCTCCTAGGGCTGGTATTCAAGCTGCCTGTCTCAGGGGAGAAGAGACCTGGCTGCCTTCATGCCCTTCTCTGCACCTAGGCGTCCCCAGGGGACTCACGCCTCTGCCCGGTCCACCATGGTTCTGATGAGCTCCCGGAGGAGGGCAGAGAGCGTCGAGCAGTTCTGCCGCATCCACAGCCTGAGATCTGTGACCACCTGTGGAGGGGAGGCGGCACTCAGGGAGACTGATGGGTGACTCCCCTGGGGAGCCAGGACAGCTGCTGAGCCCCAACGCTGCTGTCTGAGCTCCCCAAGGTTGGGCAGCACAGGGTGGGGGTGGAGGGGCTGGCGGCACCTGGTCGTTCCGACTTCGTCCTGTGTGCAGTTTCCCTGCGGTTTCACCAATGAGCTCCTAGGGGTGGAGGAGGCATGGGTCAGGGTCTGCTGCTCACGCCCGGTGGGGTCCGCCCAGGTGGACATGCTTCCTCCCTGCCCCGGAGTCCTCCCTCCCTGCCCCAGGGACCCCGGGTCCCGCCCAAGTCTCTGCCCTCTCTGCCCAGGCCTCCTGTTCTGAAGTCCCGCCCAAACTCTGCCAATGACGAAGTGAACAGACATTTGGTGCTTATGCTCAATGTGGCCCAGGGCAAGTGGAGAGGGAAGGCGGGGGCAGGGGGTGGGAGAGAGAGGAGGGAGGATGGCTCATACCTTGAGACGCCGCTCATTGGCTGTGTGGATGTCCTCATCGTTGGGATTTAGTTTGAAGGTGCCCTGGGCCCACTCCTCCGCCACCTGTAGTAGATGGCAGCCACCCAGGGTTCGGGTTGCCAGCCAGGGGCACCCAAGGGGGCCAACCCTTTTTCCCCCTCCCCCCTGTTCCTTGATTGCCCCGGGATGGGAGCGGAGTCCGGGAAGTCCTCCCCGCCGGGGGGGGGGGGGGGGGGGGGCTGTGCAGCCCCCACCCAAGGGAGCATCTCAGGCCCTATGCACCTTTGCCCATGAGCCACGGGGCATTCAGGATGAAGAGAGCCAGCGAGCTCTGTACAGGGGTAAAGGGCCCCTCTCTAGGTGCATAATCACCACAAAGGGATGTGAGAGGCTTAGGATGACACTGCAACCTGTGCTGGGGGATGCGGTGGGAGCCCGAGGCCACAGGAAGGGGCCCTCGGAAGGACCCTGGGGCATGAACAGTACCTTGTCCAGGCCGTGGAGTATCTTGTCCATCTCAGCCTTGGTGAGGAGCCCTGCCTTCTGCAGGCCCCGGCTATAGGCCTTGCTGCCTTGCACATCCACTTCCCACAGCTGCCGGTCGTAGGCGATGGACGCGTTGAACTTCTCCATGATGGGGTCCACGGCGCCCACAAACCGGCCGCCCCATAGCTTCCCGCTCTGGCCAGGAGAGCAGGAGCAATTAATCTCCCCGCCCTCCGCCAACCTGCAGGGCAGTGCCTCTCACAAAGGGCCCGCAGGAGGGTTATCAAGGTGATGGCAGTGGCAGCCAGCAAGCGGGCAGGATTATTCTCACTGGACAGATAAGGAAACTGAGGCTGAGAGAGAGGCAGGCACTTGCCCAAGGAGGAGTGTGGGAAGGTGGCTGGACAGTGAAGTTAGGGCTCTTTCCCACCACCTGACACTGCTCCAGGGAGACGGTGGCAGGGTACAAGGACCCCTGAGACCACAGCAGAACTTCTGCTACTGGCCAAGGTGGCATCCAGAGTTTGAATCAGCTCTGATGTACCAGTGATAATGATATAATCCTGGTAACGTCTCAGCTTACCAGGCACTGTTCTAAATGCTGGGCACGTACTGACAGCGACCCTCTGAAGTGGGCACCAATCTCTCCGGCACGGAGAGGGGGAAACTGAAGCCCAGAACAGTTATGTATCTTTTGCTCTCGCCAGGGGTGGCAGAGCCAGGACTGCCGTCCAGCAGTGTGAAGGCAGCCCGCGCACACTCTGAACCCACATTCCGCCAGGACCTCTGCTGGCTCTGCTATTCTGAACGTCTGCTGCAAGGACAGGCAGGGAGGCACCGAGGGACCCATCAGGCTCAAGTTACCTGCATCTCCCTCCCATCGCTCGGGGCAGGATCGAAGGTCCCATCTCCAAAACTTCTTTGGAGAGCACCTCCGACACACCTGTTATCACTGGCCTTCTAGGAGGTCACTAGCTGCCCCTCTGCCCCCAGGAGCCAAGGGCAGAGAGATGGGATAGAGACATCTGTTTTGAAAGAGGGCATAGGCCAGGGCATGGGACAGATGGGGGAGGGGTGCAGAACACCTTTGAAGCAGTCTGAGTACTCAGAGTGCCAAGGATTAGGAAGAGAGTGTGCCACGGTGGAGGTGTGGGTGGTACTTCTCTGGCATCTTTCCCCTGGAGTGGGGTTTAAATGGCCACTGGGGACATGTCCTCCTCTGTCCCTCTGTTAGCCACCTGACCATGACCACGTTATATAACCTCTCAAAGCCTCAGGATTGCCCCTCTATCGATTTGATAAAATTTGCCAAGTGCATACACAGCACAGTGCCTGCCACTCGATAAGGACTCAGTAAATTCTAGGTATTACTAAGGGAGCAGCCGAGGCCTGCGTGGGCCAGGGTGTGCCTTAGCTTGGTTCCTGTGTGCACCATGGGGCCTCCGCCACGCTCAGGCCCAGGCTGTGAGCTGACCCCTCAGTGCCCAGCAGCCTTGGCCACCCTGCAGCAGCTGCCTCCGCCCCCTCAGCCTTTTGTTTTTTTTGTTTTTTCCCCCCACCCCTCAGCCTTTTGAACTGGGCCTGCCCCTTACCCTCTCTGCCCCAGCAAACCTTGATCTCCATCAAAACATGGGGTCCCGCCCTAACCGGTTTGGCTCAGTGGATAGAGCGTCGGCCTGCGGACTGAAAGGTCCCAGGTTCGATTCCGGTCAAGGGCATGTACCTTGGTTGCGGGCACATCCCCAGTAGGAGATGTGCAGGAGGCAGCTGATCGATGTTTCTCTCTCATCGATGTTTCTAGCTCTCTATCCCTCCCCCTTCCTCTCTGTAAAAAAAATCCATAAAAAATATATATTAAAAAAATTAAAGAAGTAAAAAAAAAACCCATGGGGTCCCAGGCCTAACTATTGGGGCCAGCGGCTAACTATTGGGGCCAGAGGGCCAGGGCCAGCCAGTAAGGATGGGGAGCCAGCCTGCCCTCAGCCAGAGGCACCACCTCTCCCAGCAGGTCCCTGGACTCCCTGCCTGGGTTGTTAGTAATAACAACTACTTAACAAGTGGGGCTGCCGCCAAACCAATTAGTGCAAACCCACAGGACAGCCTGGGGCAAGCAGAGGTCACCTGGCACCCTGGTCTCCTGAAAGCAGCCTTTTCTGCTTTGGGGCCAAGCTCCACCCCACTGGCAGGCTTAAAAGGACCCCAGGAAAATGTCAGAATGAGGTGCCACAGCCTGGGCACCGGGAAAGCCCAATGTGGTGGGAGAGGGAACTGCTAAGGCAGCGAACATCTGGGCCAGAATGATCCCGTTAGGGCAAGGGGCAGGGGCACTGGGTTGGGCTGAGATGTTACTGTGAGTACACTCTGCCACCACTTACTGAGCACCTACTGTTACCTGGCCCTGTCTAGGCATTCTATATGTGCTGTCACACCCTCCTACGAGGGGGGCACTGTCACTCCTGTTTTATAAACGAGAAGAGAGGTTCTGGGAGGTCGAGTGACTGTTCAGAAACCAAGTCTGTTGGGCTCCAAAGTCCAGGCCCTGCCCCCAGCCCTCCACCGGGACCTCGAAGCTGGCAGGGCAGGCATTCTTATCCCATTTATTCAGATGCACAAACAGGTCCAGAGGAGGAAGTGAGTTGCCAGCTAATGAGGGCCAGGAGGGACTGAAATGCAGACCGCCTGCTTCCCAGGTCCCACGACATCAAGCAAACAGTCCCTTTTACCTGAAGGGTTCCAAGCAATGACCTCATAAATCTAGTACCTTACAGAGGGAGGCAGACGGCTATCATCCCCCCTATTTGCCAGATAAATCAGCGGGGGCACAGGAAAGGAGCTGTGCCTCAGACTCCTGCCACGCTGGTCAGGAAGACAACCCAGGAGTCCTCTGGCTCTAGGGCAGGGAGGAAGCTTCGGGGCACTGGGGCCACTGGGGTCCCTGGGGCCGCAGGGCAAGGTCCCCTACCTCCTGGCTCTTTCCACCGCCTGTCATGTGGATTCTGCGACTCGGGGACACCTGCTTCGGCAGCAGGTGGGGTCAGGGCCGCCTTCCCGAGCAGTGTGCTTCGGTGGGTTTGCCACACAGACTCAGGGAAGGGGCGCGGGAGGGGCGCAGGTCTCTGCCAGGTGCCCGCTGCCTGGAGCCGGTAAGGACCATCACCAGGAGGGCGGCCAGCGACAGGTGTGGCACCAGGAGATCCGCGCGCAGGTCGCGGCTGCGGCTGGCCCCAGGGCGCCCCTCCCCCTCGTCCGGAGTCTGGCAGGACCCGCGTCCCCGAGGCGCCACTCACCTCCGATGCCATGTT